TTCATCTCCTTACCTTCTTCTTACTTCACCGCATTGAATTAATCTGACAGAAACTGCGTGATTTTCGGCTCCTGTTTCTTCGATTTGTGCTTCCTGTTGTCTATGGATCCGGGCTCTAGAAGCTTCATTTCTCGCTGTTTTGAAGTCTCTATCACGGTTCTGCTTCCGGTGATTTGAATTTGGTAGCTGATTTGGTTTGATTGATGCTTTTGCAGGTGTTGGTTCGTTTTAATACCCTAATTTTGAAGATAATGATTTTTTCTGCATTTTTGTTAATTACTATTGGAATTTGTAGATCTTTGAGACCACGGTGTATGAAATTTTTTTCAACTCTTGCTTTTTTTAAAAAGTAAAATCTTTGCTGTTTATATTTTGGGGGTGGGAGAAGATGAATTAGGTTATTTACTTGTTATGCTGTTGCTGTATTGAAAAATGTGATAATTTTGTTGCATAAAAATGAAGACTTTGCTTAAAGTCAAGTTTTTGTGATGAGGGTAAACCTTTTTAATAATGGGTTATGAATGTGACGTTGTTTTTATTTTTTTGCTGTGAATGTTGGGTTAAAAATTTTGTTTTTGCGTGGAATTGTGTAGTTAGTGTTTCGATGCATTGAATGTAGAGATATGTCTGTATCCAGTGTATCTGTGGCGAGAGGAACTTTCTGTTTGTAGTTATATACAATATCAGCATGTGTATAGGTATTAGCATTATGAAAAATTGGATTAGTTTATGTAATCGTAAGTTAAGTATGTTTTCTGATTTTCAGAGTGGAGAATGATTTTGGATCTGTTTTGATGTTTGCAGATTTTGTGGTGGAAGTAAAATTGATATGCTGAGCAAAAATGTCGTTGAGAAGTATAGTAAGGGAACTCAAAGAAATGAGGGATGGGATTGGTAACACTTCGAGGCGAGGTGTAGGAAGTAGGCATTCACAGCGTCGGACGAAGTCACACATTGTTCCTGATATCACTTTAACATCACTTGAACCTATTCAGCAAGGACAATGGGCAAATATACCATCTGAATTGCTTCTTGATATAATTCGGAGGGTAGAAGAGACCGAGACTTCTTGGCCTGCACGTGCGGTTGTCGTTTCTTGTGCTTCCGTGTGTAAATCATGGAGGGCTGTTACCAAAGAGATTGTCCAGACTCCCGAGCAGTGTGGAAGGTTGACATTTCCTATTTCGCTAAAGCAGGTGATTAATTCTTCACTCCTTTTTTGGCCCATTTATTTTTTGCTTTTCCATTTAGGTTGTTCCGCATCTTATGTTCTCTACTTTTTGTGTATGAATAGCCGGGTCCTCGTGACTCTCCGATTCAGTGCTTCATTCGGAGGGACCGAGAAACTTCTGCATATCTATTGTACTATGGATTGGTGCCATGTAAGTTTGCTTTAATGCTGATGATGTTGCAGATTTACTCAATTTCTTTAATTTTTTTCTAATCAGGGTGTTGTCTTGTTTTTGGATCATTCTCGAAAACTTGGAATTAATGAATTTAGATCATGAACTGCAATTTTCTTGCACTAAAAATATGTAGTGTTTTTCATATATTAATTATTACACAGTGATCACGTCATCATCTTGAGAACTGTTCTCAAATTAATTACATGGTATTCACACATGCGCCGGCTTTGTAATATATTTGAAATTCTAAATACTAATAATTATACAAAATCTTTTTTTTAATGTTCTAATAAATTGTACTGCAAATTCTATGGTGTAGTCCATGTTAGACCGATACTTGAAAAGTTGTTTGCAACTATAATGCGATTGACGTTGCCTCATAGTTGAGAAACTACTCGTTTAATGTCGATTTGACAAAAAAAGGGAGCCCGGAGTCCGGGTGCCTCAAAACATCATTTTTTCCCCTTAGTCTGAGTTATCAATCCTGGATAGCGGAGCGGAGCGGCCGACCCCAAAAATGGGATAGCCGAATTACCGCTATTTGACTATTTTTTAGACTAATTTTATGAATAATCTATTAAACATATATATAATGTAAAATCAAACAAAGAAGAGGAATAATCTATTAAATGACCATTCCTTAAAAGACCAGAGGTAATAAAAAACAAATATAAAATACAACCAGATTTATTTATTTTAAGGGTAAATCTGGGTTTTGGTGTTCAAAACAATTCAAACCCACTCGGGCTGGGAAGTGCCCTGCTCCTGCTACCTGCTAAACATCAAATAGCGGAGGGTCACCGCTCCAGGCCGATATCCTGGGATAGCGCCGATAGCGTCCACTATCATAACTCTGCCCTTAGTTTTGTCAAACTAGCACCAATCAAGTCACTGTCCCAGACGTGGGCAGAAGAGGATTGCGAGGTTATACTTTGAGGAGTGGTGTTAGTTTTGTCGGAGGTTTGGGTGATTTAATATGCTGGTCTACCCTAGAGGCTGCTAAATTTTAAATGAAATGAACTTTTCTTCTTTCAATGACAATAGAAATGCATTTCTTTGAAGTCATAATTAAACTAAATAATGAGTCATAAATAACTACGAAAAGATGTTCTTTTTTATTGTTGGATTGAAGTTAAAGCGGTCTAGTTCCTGTTTCCGCTGTGAGTTGACAGCTTTTTATTTTTTAAGTTCTCAAAGGCTATTTGAATAGAAGAACCTATGGGTAAACCTCAACCCATTTGTGTGTTGTTTTCCTCCGTTCAATCCATCTTGATGAATTATATAGATTGAACTCTTGAGACTGATAATTTGAGAAACTTGTTTTGTTTTTTCTAATACAGCTGAAAATGAGACTGATAAGCTGCTACTAGCTGCCAAAAAGATAAGGAGGGCAACAGGCACAGACTTCATCATATCTTTGGTTGCCGACGATTTTTCTCGGACCAGCAATGCCTACGTTGGAAAACTCAGGCATGTTTTGGTTGATAGAAATTTTACTTGCCCACTTTTCAAATTTCCACCGTTCTCTTATTTCCATCTCTAACCTATGATAAATTAACAGGTCTAATTTTTTGGGCACCAAGTTCACTATATATGATAGCCAACCTCCACATGGAGCTGGAATTCAACCAAATAGTCGGTCCAGTAGGAGATTCCATTCTAAGCAGGTATCTCCAAGAGTTCCAGCATGTAACTATATTGTTAGCACCATTGCCTATGAGCTGAATGTTCTCCGCACGAGAGGGCCTAGAAGAATGAACTGCATCATGACCTCGATACCTGTCTCAGCTGTTCAGGAAGGGGGCAATGCTCCAACTCCTACATCTTTTCCTCAAATTACTGATGAACATTTTTGTTCCGCACCAGCACCGAAAGGTAAAGGTCCAATTGGAGATTTAAGCAATTCAACCTTCTTAGAGATGCCGCCGGTGCAGAGCCAAGGCCCTATTGATTCTCTGGTACTTAAAAACAAGTCTCCCAGATGGCATGAACAGCTGCAGTGCTGGTGCCTAAACTTCAAGGGTCGTGTTACAGTGGCTTCGGTTAAGAACTTTCAACTTGTGGCTGCTGTTGAGCCATCTCATAATGTTTCCGCCGCAGAGCAAGAAAAGGTTATCTTGCAGTTTGGAAAAATTGGAAAAGATATATTTACTATGGATTACCGTTATCCACTCTCTGCCTTCCAAGCCTTTGCAATATGCTTGAGCAGCTTTGATACAAAACCAGCCTGTGAATGAGACCCATGCCACTGGGTCATTGTCTGATGGTTTTTCTCCCCATTTATATATATGTAAAATTTGCTAGACACGGCATGGTGAGATGCAAGCTGACTAATGCGGTCGTTAGTATTTCCCCTTTATGTTAGTTGTTGTATCTGTAATTTTAACCTTTATGTTGTTTCATAGCCCTGTATCTGTAATTTTAACCTTCATGTTGTTTCATAGCCCTGCAATTAAAGTTATGTTAGTTGATGTATCTGTAATTTTAACCTTTATGTTGTTTCATAGCCCTGCAACTAAATTTAAGTTTATTGAATTTTCAATCCTAGAATATACAGTCTTGTGATATTTCTCACCAATGGATGTCTTTTTTCATTTTTGTAGTGTTTTGTTGTTGTAGATACTCTTTTATTATGATCTCCGTTTTTACTCAATTGTCATTAGCTGTCATTCAAATATGCAAGTATAATTTATACTATACTTTCAATTGGTAATTTTCTAATTTTGGTTCCCTTCAATAAGAAATGATTGCACTTGCTGCATTCACAAATTTTGGCCATTTGAGATTGAATGGCTTTAAGGTTGAATTTTTGAATAAGTAATTAAATAGAGTTTGCAAATAGGATGATTGGTTGCTGACAGAGAATAGAGCTTTCTGCAAGCCAATAGGTTTGGAGAAGAAACACCTTTCTCAGTCTTTTGGTGCTGCTGTTGCTGTAAAGCCTTCTGACTCATCTAATTTCTTCTGGTAAAGTTCTTCTTATATCTCATCTGAACTTGTATTGCAGCTTAAAGTTCTATGCCCTTTCTCAAAACTCAAAAGGCTATAGGGGATTGAACTGGAGTATTTGGCTTCAAGTTCAATACTGCTTATGCTTAATAAACCAAATCACATTCATTGGCTTGAAAAAAGTAAATATACAACAAGAATAATACTATTAACTAGCACAAATGCAGAAGTGTTTAATATATATACAATAAGAATACACAAAAACAATAGGAAAGTGGTCACTAGAATGTTGACAGGAAAAGGAAAAAAGGAAAACAATCAACTATACCATCAATTAACAAGCCCTACTGTTATAGTGCCTACTATAAACATAGCACTGCTATATATTACAATTGCAAAACTTGCTGTTACAGTGCAAAATTAAGCAGCAGTGTTTTGTGAATGAATATTTAATGCTAAAAATGCTACAAGTTTGAGATTAAGTATTAAGGCTAACAACGGCAAAACTTATATATTACACATCTATAAAGATTGAGGCACCATGCATAAATTATATCTGCTACCCATCAATCCAAAATGGTTCTTGTGAAGCATGTGATATGTACTCCCCACAATAGTATCATAAGTATTTTGAGAAATCCATGTTCACCTTTTGGTTTTTAATGCATGTGAACTAGGCTTTGAGAACAATCCTAGTTTCTTCAGAAATTTTGATCTTTTTGTTGTTCTATTTTCTTCTGTGTGACTGTTGGAATCTTCAAAAGTGTTGTTGGTAATTGGTTGAGAGGGCCTGTTATTCTCATTCTCAACATACTCTGCATCTCGCAAAAGATGAAGCAATTCCACGGCACTTTCTTTTCCTTTATCATTTCCATTCTGTGAGATATAGAAAAGAGGAGCAATAATCTCTTCATCCAAAATCAACTTACAATAATCCACACTTTTAGAGCATGAACATAGAGATAGAAGAACAGAAAGTGCATGTTCTTGCTCCTCATTACTTCCAGTCTCAAGTATTTCAGCAATAGAAGCTATGCATCCCTTTGTTTCTGCAATTGAATTTCTACCCTCTTCTGTGTCACATATGTTTTTCAATATGTATATGCAGTATCTCAAGACGGCTCTATCTTTGAAAAATGGAAGCAATTTCTGGATGCAATTGTGCGATAACATGTGCAGACAAACTTCACTATTGAAGGAAAAATTGTATAATATTCTTATAGCTTGTTGTTGGAACCCTCTGTTATCAGAATCAAGTAATTTTAAGACAGAAGTGAGTGCACTTGATGCTTCAATTTTGGATTTGCTATTTCCAGATAGTTCTTCCATTATGGCAAGTACTTCTCCTATCACTTCTGAATTAAGAAGACTTGCCAACATGATGAATGTATCTTCACTTAAATTATCCATACCATTTCTGCATGAAAATTACACACAAAATGTGTCATTGTAATATCAAAAGCAGGTGCTAAGATAAAGCAATCAAGCAGGCAAATTTTCAGGTTTGCGAGAAATTATGAATATTTCAAAACAGACTTTGAAATTCAGAACACTCTATCATATTAACCCGTGTCAGACAATTTTAGGAACTAAATTGTCCGGCCCTAAATAATGGGATCGGAGATTTTCTATTTCAGACACTATTTTGAAATTTATATGATTTCAGGGATTAAATTGATACTGTACTACAGTTTCCGAAACTATTTTGGTGATTTACTCTAGGACAAGGCATCAGATAGATAAAGACATTGATTTTTGAACATGAATAGGACTGCTTTTACAGGTGAATATAGTTTTATATTGGGTAGGGGAAGAAGAAATCATACCTGCAGCTATTCACAAATTCCAACAGAAGCTGAGTTCCAGATCTCAGTGCTTTTTCGTCCTGCAGATCATTTGCATTGCCCAAAAATTTGACTAGTGGTTCAACTAATTTTTCAGCTGACACAGACAAAATAGCTTGGCTATTGCTTTTCAAACGATCTTTCAAATCTTCAATGACCTTACATTGAGAATCCCATTGAAGATCATGAAGTTTAGGCAAGAGCATCAAATCTGTATCAGGTATCTCTGGTGCATGATCTCTATGCTTGTGAGAGTCTTCACTAGCCTTGCTCATCATCAAATTCAAGTCATGATTGGTCTTACCTCGTGACGCATCTGAAGTAAAACTAGTATCCAATGATCCAAGTGACATGATACTAAGATCCAGTGGCAAGTTCAAATCATTGAAATAACTTCCTAAACTCTTAATGGAGGTGATTGAAGCATCCAACAACTGAAAATCTTCTGCGTGTCTGCTTGGATCAGGAATGGAAACACCACTATTCTTGCACCACTTTGATATTAAGTCCTTCATGGCAACATTTGGAGTCGATGTCATATGAGGTAGTTCATTTTCTGTTTTTGGACATGTAGTTTTACCCTCATTAAACCACTTTGTTATCCACATTCTTTCATATGTTACTCCAGAAGCAATGATAACAGGATCATACATCAATCTTGAGGATATTGGACACTTATATTCCTCGGGTGGTATCCCTGTATCCAACTCACTCATGTGAGTTCTACACTGATCATATTCCGAGTTAGGATCCAGCTCAACACGATTGCTTCGTAGCGAATGGCAATTAGAGTTATTATCCTTTGCAGTCGGTTCTTTGCTACGAGAATAAACCTTCTCCATGTGTTCTCCCACCACCATGGATTTTCCATGTTTTTTCAATAGATACATAAGATATCTCAAGATCGATGTCTTTTTCTGGTCATTTGGTCCAATTTTATCTAGCAAATTTTTAATAGACCGTCCCTCGATTAATAAGGCCTTTTGTGATGTTATATTCAGCCTCGGTGCTGCAAACTGAAGAGCTTTAAGTTCAAAATCTTCCGCTGAAACCAAGTTCGAAGTACCTTGCTGAAGCAATTCTGTTAAAACTTTCCCAGCCTCTTCTTCAGCAGAGTCCAGAACAAATGTAGCACGCTCAAGATCATCGACTATTCTAGAAACCTGCAAGTCACATTTCAGGAAAGATAAAACTCAGTTTGGATTAACTTGTTTATAAATTTTTTTCCACTACAATAAGTCATTAGTTTTTATGAATAATCACTGACTTATAAAAAGTCAGATTAGACAACATTTGAAGAAAAAATTGACTAACCTCAACAGCCAACACAACTGGAACCATACCCTGAATGGGAATTAAGCTTTGTTCTAATGACTTTTTTGCTTTTTGGCATCTTAAAAGTACTGTATCTCCTGTCACTGCCTGAAAGTAGTGGTCATATTTAGCTTACTTGTTAAGAAAGTTATACAAAATTATTATTGAGATATGCTTTAGAGAAGAAGAAAACACACCAGGTAGAGTTTGCTACATTCAGAGCAATGTTGTAGAAGTAGTTTAGCTTTCTGAATTGAGTTGTTCAGATAAACCAGAGATTCTATTCCTGATGAACATTTTGGTCTTGCATCCTCTATATCTGGAAATATCCTCATGATATCATCCAATATTCTCATCAATTCCATGCATATTTTACTATGTACCTGTTAATAGAATCCTTAGTTCTAAGTTCTAACACCTTTGATAAACATAATAGTGAAATCAAATGCTATTCATTTATATGTATATACCTGAAAGGATCTTGGTAGAGTCTCCACTATTTCACCACTAGTAGTTCTCATTAAAAGGAGTAGTATCCTACAACTACATAACAGATTTGTGAATCTCTGAGTATAATGAAAGAGAAAAGTCTACTAGAGAAAGACAAGGTTATTTTGGAATATTCTAGATAGTAAAATAAAACAAAAAAGTAATTTTCATCACCTAAATTTAAATTAGGAAGATAGAATAGAACCAATCATCTTTGAACATAAATAATTTGAAGCTAGAAATAGAAATTTTAAAAGTAAGGAGAATGAATAATTACCTAGAATTATGGTAGTGATTATAAGCAACTTGTTCCTGTGGTTAAATGTTGAAGAACCAAGTATTAAAGAACCAAGAAACCAATAAGTGCTGATGGATTCAGTTGTTAAAACAGCATTAGTTGTTGATTCACTAGAAATCAGTTTGTTTTTGTGCAGACATTGTGTAGATAAGCAAAGGGAAGAAAAAGAAGAGGTTGAATGAAAATTTGATTGATGTAAAAAAGTGACATATTTGAGAGCTGATAATAGATTCTTCTGCAAGAGAGAATTGAAGAGAATGATGTTGTAGTGAAAAGAAAGGAAGCATGAGAATGAAAAGGATAATGAATGGTTTGTATGTGGTGGCGAGGTTTCAAGGAAAGAGAGTCTGGTCAACGTGTTGGGATTTTGTCGTATGACCAAGTCGACCAAACTAGAAACAAAACAAACCAACCTTATTATTTGTTGCGGCTTTCTTTGTCTGCCAATATCAAATATAATTTGGCCTTTTAAGTAGAAATTTTTACTCATTATAACGTGAAAGAAAGAAACATTCTCAATAAATAAAATGAAAAACTCACTTCCAACATAGGACTCGGTTAAGTTCAAAGATATACTTTACCATGATCTCTCATCTAAGTGCTTATCTTAATTTTGTTATAAGCATTCACAATTATTATGGAAGATACTAAGATAAAAAATGTAATGTGATTACGAATCTAAGTTTATTTAAATTGCCATTCTTTCACAATATTAACTAATTTAATATATAATGTAAATATTTTTATAAGTTATTTAATTAATGTGAAAATTATTGATATTTATAAATTAACAATTTTTTAAAATTAATTAATATAAGAATAATTTTGAAGTAAAAATATTAAATATTGATAATTAGTTAAGATTTGCTTTAGAGATAACAAAATTATTGATTTTTGTTTATAAAAAGGTGATAAGGATTATCACATGTTTCTAAAACACAATAAAACTAGTTGATTGATGATAGTTTAAGTTAACTTTGATTTTTATGGGAAAATTTAACAATTAGAAATTATAAAAGTAATATGCAATAATAAAAGAAGGTTTAGGGTTTAGGGTTTAGACATGTGAGGATTCACAATAAAATATATGAATGTAACTAAAACAAATAAAGGTTATACTATTTCCTCTAAATTTAAGGGCTTAACTGGGATGAAGTTGAAACAAATAATGAGAATGTGTATGAAGGTTATACTAAAGGAGATTTTGTTGCTACAAACTCTAAGAAAATTTTGTTGTGAATTACGATAAAATTCAATATTAATTTGTGAGATAAAGAATAGTAGTGACTAAAATAAATGGTCTATAGTAATAATAATTCGTACAAAAATAATATAACAAAATAAGGCGAGAAAAAGACGAAGGTTTATTTATCCAATTCGATCCAACGATCTACTGTAGGGGAGAGAGCAACTCTTCTATTCACTATACTCAGAAAGTTGATGAGTTACAAGAAAATAACCTTCACTTTCCGATTTCTAAGAAAAACTCTGAATGCGTCCAAGAACAACTCTATTTTCTACCCAAATGTTTCCTAACTTCTTCAACCTTCAATATATAAATAACCTAAATCCAATGTGTAAACAAATATTTCTCAATTCTCTTAGATAACTCCAAAGGTTTCCTAAAGTCCTTGTCTTTCTAAGGTTTCCTGTCAGAACCCTATGTTATACCTTAAACCCTTGCTCTCCCTTGTTGTTGTAAGCTCTAAGATGGCCACACCTACAAACATATAAGAGATTCATATTTATAATAGCAAATATCTAACAAACAAAATCCAAAAACACAATCCAATCACACATGCATCCATGAACCGAATCGAAAGAGCCCGAATCACACAGAAGGAAAAATGGTCGAAAAAGTATGAAAAACCCGAAATCATTATTCACCATAAGAACAACACTATTCACCGTACGAATAACTATTCATCATACAAACATCACTATTTATCGACCAATTTTTTCATATTTTAATTTTTTTTCTTTTCGTCTAACTTTCTGAAACTTTTGATTTTTGCGGTATATGCAATCTTTAAAATATATTTTCTTTCTCTTAATCAACAAAGGTTTTAAGACATATTTCAACAATCTTCACCTTGACTTTAAATCGTGTTGATATCAATTTAACCATCAACAACCTTGTTACTACTCTCTAACAGGTTAAAACTCTTAATCAATAACTTTGATCAAATTCAAGAAACCCTTGAATATTGATCTTGCCACCTGCATCCATTTATTTCTAATTACTCTTTTTTACCTAGGTAATTTAACAAGCCTACAAGTATTATTTTTCAAATACCCTTGACTTCATATATTTTCAAATGCCTCCCTGAAGGTTTTTCCTTTTGTATTTTGCAGCCCTTCATCCACATTCAAAACATAATATTCAAGGCTAACATAATCGTTCCTTTGAGATGCTATAATAATCCTCATTACCTTATCACGAGTCAAATGATAATCATAGATCTCTATAATCGTTCTCTCACTACTTCTAGCATCTATAGTAGGAAATTCCACATCAAACTGAGTTTTCTCCGTTACAGTTTTTACAAGGTTTCTCCCTTGTTTTTCACTATTCTCCCTTTGAAGAAATTCTCTACCAACCAAGTAAATTGTTTTAACCCCAACTCTTTTCCAAAAACTCAATAGCAACTCAACGGTAACATGCATTTTTATCTCTTAATTTCTGCAAAATTCATTATACTCATTTGAAACTTCTTAAGGCATTCATAACGCCTTAAACTCAAATCTCATAGTTCTTTCTTGTCATGAAAGCCTCTACTAGTTAACAATGAATAAATAACAACATTTAAACCTTCTAAAATATAAAGACCACATATTTTAGACCCTTTAGCAATAAATTCATCACACAAAATCTTCAACACTCCATGTTCAACTCTAGCACAATAGCCTAGATCATCAAACATACTTATAGATGACAAAATTCGTTTGAGTTCTGGAACATACCTCACATTGTGAATAACAAGTTCACGATCATCAAACATTTTAAGTCCGACCGTACCAATACCATGAACCTTGCAAGCCTTATTATCACCAAGGTGAACTATTCCATCTTGCACCATCTTCTAAGTTTCAAAGTATTCTATTCTTGGACACATGTGATAAGAGCAACCTGAGTCAATGACCCAACTATCTTCAGTTTCCAAACTCGATATTACTAGTACATCGCCATCCTCATAACTTTTTCACCCAAGACAATTATAGTTTGAACAGAATCTTCATTGACCTTTTTCTCAGGACAATCCCTTTTAAAGTGACTGATTTTTTGACAATTAAAACATTTTACCTTTGACTTGTTAGAACTCTTTGATTTGGACATCCCTTTATGCTAACCTCCTCCTCTTGACACATTTAAGCCTTCACCACTATCTTCAATCTTCAAATCTTTCCACTTTGAAAATTCTTTGGATTTCACCGCCGTCTGGACTTCATCTAAAATAATAATACCTTCCTTACCATAAAGAAGGGCATCCTTAAAGTGCTCAAAGGATCTGGGTAACGAACTCAAGAAGAGCAAAGCCTTGTCCTCATCTTCAATCTTCACTTCAATATTCTCAAGATCATCAATAATCTTGTGAAATTCTGTAAGTTGCTCAACTATGGATTTGTTCTCCACCATCCAGAATGAATAAAGTTGTTGTTTCAGAAATAACCTGTGAGTCAAAGACTTTGTCATATACAATGATTCAGGTTTTGTCTACATAGCAATTGTAGTTTTCTCCCTGGAGACTTCTCCTAGAAATTTATCCCCGAGACACAAGATAATGGCACTCCTGACCTTATCCATCATCTCGATCTTCTGTTCATGTTTAAGCCCTGCAGGCATCAATGTTTCACTCTTTAAAGTATCGATACACTTCTCTTGAATTAAAATTGCTTGCATCTTAATTTTCCACAACCCGAAGTCACTGTTATTGGAAAATTTCTCGATTTCCCATCTAACCATGGTGCTCACTTGTAAACAATTCTCTTTGCTCCACGCTCACCCCACCACTTGTTGTGAATCTTGTGGTGAATTACGATAAAATTCAATATCAATTTGTGAGGCAAAAAATATTAGCAACCAAAATAAATGGTTTACATCAATAATAATTCGTACTCAAATAATATAACAGAATAAGGCGAGAAAAAGATGAAGATTTGTTTATCTAGTTCGATCAAACGATCTACTCTATGGGAGAAAGCAACTCTCCAATTCACTATACTCAGAAAGCTGTTACAAGAGATTACAAATGAGTTATAAGAAAATATCATTCGCCTTCAGGTTCCCAAAAACAATGTTTCCCAATTCCCTTGGATAACTCTAGAAGTTTCCCAAAACCCTTGTCTTTTTAAGGTTTTCCTTGAGAATAGCCAAAACTCTATGTTATACCTTAAACCCTTGTTGTTGCTGTAAGCTCTAAGATTGTCACATCTACAAACATAAGAGATACATATTTATAATAGCAAATATCCAGCAAACAAAGCCCAAAAACACAATCCAATCACTCATGGATCCATGAACCAAACCGAAAGAGTCTGAATCACGCAAAAGAAGAAACTATCGAAAAACCTGAAATCACTATTTACAGTACGGACAACACTATTCACTGCATATACAACACTATTCACCGTACGAACATCACTATTCACCGACCGATTTTTCCAGATTTCTATTTTTTACTTTTCGTCTGATTTTCTAAAACTTCTGATTTTCGTGGTACATGCAATCTCCAA